TATATTCTGGTATGTAGCCAATAGTCCAGATAAAAAAGCAAAACATAGAGAATGGGAGGTAATGATAGGTACCAAGGAATAAAATAAGGCAGGGAAGGAGAGAAGTGAGGGCTGGGACTATCCAGGATGGTGTTGCAATCTTTAAAGAGTGGCCAGGGAAGGCTTATAAAGAGGAAGACATGTAATATCCAAAGGTGGTGAAGAACATTCCAGGAAACGGGAACAGCAAGAACAAAGGTCCTGATCTGAAGCATGCTTGGCAGTGTTCAAGAAGCAGCGGGGAGCCAATGTGGCTGGACTGTGGTAATTGAGTAAAGAAAATGAGGTCAGAGAGGAGGGAGCAGAGATGCGGACAAGGAGCAGGAGGACACCATGTAGGGCCTTTTGGCTCTTGTAAGGGCTTTCCCTCTACTATGAGAAGGACTATGACTATGACATGGAAGAGACTGGCTGTTGACCAGACTGTTTCCTACTATGGACACGGCTGGACTACAGTATGGATGGGTAACTGAGCTCTGGCCAAGGGAAAAGTAGCAGAAATGATGTCTACCACTTCCAGTACTTGTCTTACAGACCTGCTATGAGCCATTCTCCAAGCTCTCTTTCTGTGGCAACACTAGAAATCATGTAGTACAGATGGCCCATCACAAGATGGAAGGAGCCCGGGTTCTTGTGGAAAAACCACTCACTGAACAGGAACAAGTTTTTTGGACTTTTTCTGAGTGAAAAATGAATTCTATGGGTTATTTTCTACCTCTGATATATTGGGATTTATCTCTTTCAGAGCTAACATTACCTTAACTAATACAGATGGGAAGACATTGGAAGGTTTTGAGTGGAAAAGTGACATGATCTAACATTTTAAAGGGGTTACATATGACCAAAGGGGGTGAGATTAGAAACAAGCCACCCATTTAGGAGGCTTTTGCAACAATCCAGGTGATGACAATGATGATGGCTTGGTATAAGGTGGTTAGCAGTGAGAAGTGATCCTGCAGATATTCTGAAAGTAGCTTAAGAGGATTTCCTAATGGGTTGGAAATGGGGTGGAGAGAAAGAGAGAGTCAAAGATGATCCCAGAGTTTTGAGAAAGCAGAAAAATGGAGCTGCCATTGACTAGGATAGAGAAGACCTTGGAAGGAGCAAGTCTTGAGGGATAATATTGAAAGGTTAGTTTTGGACATGTTAAGATTCCTATTAAATATTCAAATAGAAATGTCAAGTAGGCAATTGGATGTGTGTCGGTGGAGTTCACAGTGTTCTGGACTAGAGATATAAATTTGGGAATAAAATTGGTTTATGTGTGATATGCAGCCAAGAGTTTTGATTTGGAGATGGTAGAAGGTGTTGATGAGAATGAATCAGCAAAGGAAACTGAGAAAAGTCAGTGAAGGAGGAAAGCCAGGAGAGTGTAGTGTTCTAAAAGTCAAGCGAAGAAAGCATTTCAAGGAGAAAGGAGTAGTCACATATGTCACATGCCGGTAACAGTGAGAGGAGGACTGATTAGCCATTGGGTTTAGCAACGTGGGGATCAGGTTTGGTGGGGTAGTGGGTGCCAAAACCTACCAGAGGGGTTCAGGAGAGAATAGGAAGCAAGAAATTAGAAACCCATTTAAGGAATTTACTTTAAAGGGGTGGAGAAAATTGGAGCAGAGGGGTAGTGGGGCCAAGGAAGGTTTTGTTTTATTTTCTTCTATTTTAAAATGGAAGAAATATGTTAAGCAGAAATACCAGCTTGTTGCAAATGGAAAGGATCTAGGAGTGAGGATAAAATTGATGTAGGAAAAAGGCAGAATTGCTGGAGCAATGTCCTTGAGTAGAAGAGATGGGATAGGATCTAGTACAAAATGGAAAGAGTTAGACTTTGCTTAGAACTGAGATGGTTCTTCCACAGTAATAAGGAGAGAAACTAGATCTACGGGTCTGGTTCCAGGTAAGTGGTGGTCATGGTGGAGAGAGCTTGGAGTTCCCTTTCCATTGCTGTGATGTTCTCAGTGAAAAAGGAAGCTGGGTCAACAGGAGGCACTGGGCATCTGAGGGAAGAGAAGGTGTGAGGTAGCCATTCAGCAGAGAGAACAGATGAGGGAGCATAGTGCAATCTCCAAGCAACATTGAGGACCCTCCTGAAACCTGAGATGACTTTGAGGTAATACTGGTTAGTATATCACATGGTTTTCTCCAGCCAAGTTTAACGGCATGATGCAGGCATGGAGTTGGTGGAGAGTTGGGACTTGGCCAAGTAAATAGAGTCACGTGGAAGAGACACAAAGGTGTTGAGGGTGCATGGAAGGGAGTGGTGAGAATAATGACTGATCATGGAATCTAGGCTGAAGGGGAAGGAAATGAGGACGTGAGGAGTGTGAGGGATACTGAAAACCCAGGAGCAGCAATAGATTATGGGATTAGTGGGTGGAAGGATTACTGGACTCAGGGAAAGACAGGAGGTAGTGGAGCTGGAGAGGGGGATTCATGGAGTGGGGTGCAGTTATTAACGACAAACTCTAGGATAAAATCACAAGAGTCAGTGGCTGATGAGGGTAGTGGGCAGGATTACTGGGGTACAGCATGCTGCTCAAGGAACCTCGACCAGGCCATGGGAGGGTTCATCTAGGTGGATACTGAAATCACCAACAATTAGGACACAACCTGTCCCTGGAAAGAGTGATGGTGATCCAGGACCTTACCTTTTAGCCCTCCAACCCTTTTAATTACTCCAGTGTTGGAAAAGACCCTCATAGGCTATCTTAAATCAGAGCAAGACATCTGAAAAAGCTTTCTAATTGGAAAGTTGGTTGAAATACTCATAGTCTATTTTTTACTGAATGTGAAATATTGTGTATTTTATTTTTTAAATTAAATTTAATTTTTAAAAAGATTTTATTTATTTGACAGACAGAGATCAGAAGCAGGCAGAGAGAGAGAGGAGGAAGCAGGCTCCCCACCAAGCAGAGAGCCCTATGCAGGGCTCGATCCTAGGACCCTGGGACTGTGACCTGAGCTGAAGGCAGAGGCTTTAACCCACGGAGCCACCCAGGTACCCCTGAAATATTGTGTATTTTAAATAAAGTGGCCAGTTTGTGAGCCATGAGACAGACACTCCTTGGTGACTCCCTTGATCTGTAATTTGTGAACCTCTGATTTTACCTTTACTCTAAGCCTGGAGCCTCTGACTTACTTATGTTTTGAGGTAGGACCACCTCTCTGTGGAATCACTGGTTTCATAAGCACTAACAAGGTATGTCAACATTTAAAGGGGGTGTCAGATGCAAAAGAAATTGAGCTAGTGTCTATAGGACTGAGACCACAGCCATCTTAGAATGTTGGACTATGAAAGAGAAAGTCCCCCTACCTCACACACCTTATCTTAATACTGCCTCCTGAGGAACCTTTCTGCAGCCTCAAACCCAACCCTTCATTTGAAACACCAGAGCCAGACTAGCAAATCCAAGTTAGGGAATGTGCTTAGGAAGAAGATGCAAAGCTTGAATCAAAAGAGGGACTAACAACAAAAATAAAATAAAATAAAATAAAATAAAATAAAATAAAATAGGGAAAAAAGGAAACTTCAGGAGAGGCCCTTGGCTGGAATTGTTTTTAGTCCCTCATAGTTACCAGAATAATTGGCACAGAGAAGAAAACACATTTGTTTGGGTATATGGCCTTACTTTCAAGTTTTAAATTAGATAAATAGAAGCTTCGTGAGGCATCTCTCAGTGGTGTATTTCTTCTCTTTTCCTCTTCGGCTTCTCATTCAGGTCCCTTCTGTTTATTTCTGTTACCACCTTTTTGTGAGATCTCCCCTCTCCTCTGACATCCTCCCTCCACCTCCTCTTCACCGCCATTTTGTTCTCTTCCCCTCTCCGTCAGTCCTGCTTCCCTTTCCTTTCTTCTCTTCATCTCCATCACAGCTTCCTGTGCCCGCCCTGGTGGTGATAATGGAGGTGAGGTAGGATGGTGGTGGTGTGGACCAGAGTTGTGTAGAGGAATGATGCTGGAATGATGCCCTTACCCGGAGCCATGCTCCCAAATGGTTCTCCAAGGAAAGGCTATGCTGTCAATATGAGGAGACTCTTATTTTTCCTTAGTTGTAGCTTTCTCCTTCCCTACATCAGACAGAGTCCCTCGGAAAGCCGAATGTGAGTGGTGTTGGCGAGGGCCGCATAGATTCTCCCCGGTGCGCAGAAGGGGTTCAGATAGAATTTCCTGTTAGCGTAGGGGAGAAAAATGTCCAATGAGATACAGCTTGCCTAAAAAACTCGTCTGTGGACACAAAGATACTTAAGGTAGTTTTTTAATTGTCAACTCTTAATTACAGGCATCTCATAAGGGTTAGTGTTATATTGATATTATTTGGCTGGAGAAAACACAAGCCACTCCTCCCTTCTTTAGAGATCTCTCTCTGGTCAGACAGAGGCACATAGGAAGTACTTAATGAATATTGGCCAAACGAATATATGGATGGGGATGAACCTTTGGCACATGGAAAGATAAAGGCTGGGCTCCAGAGAAGTATCACCCCCTAGCCCACGCTTTCTGGCCTAGTTCCTTCTCGTTCATTCTGTGACAGAACGTTGGGGCTCCCCAAGAGCTCTGGAAAGGAAAAGGAAGAGCCAGCTTCTCACTCCCTCGAAGCCAGAGGGAGGGACTGTGCTGTGGAGGAGGACAGGAGGACGCAGCCCCTCCCACACAGCCGGGAGAAAGCAGGTCTAGCCACAACAGTGTTGTCCTGGTCTCTGTCCTTTCAGGGCCACTGGTAAGAACTCCCAGGGGCCTCTAGGGGGGCTCTGGAGCTGCCACATTTAGGATTTCACTCAACCCAGTTGGAGGTAGAGAAGAACCGGGAAGGAACAAACAGAATGGAGGTGGCTTTGGCTGGAACCCCCCACTCCCACCCACCACCTCCTGGAAGCACCCCCAGGCCCCTAGGACCTGAACCCAGGCCTAAAATGGGACTCCAGAGCTGTCCCATGAAGATGGTCAGATTATTTCCAACACAGTACCTATATGAGTGGGGCCAGCTGTAGCCCCGTGGAGGCTGCCAGGGTGCTGAGGAGCGAAAGAGGCTGCGGCCCAGAGGGGTTCTCTCTTTCCCACTCTCCATAAGTGAGCGAATTTCTCCAGCTGAGGTCGCGGATGCAAGGGATGCCATCCTCTCTGTGAGTCTCTCTCTCTAGGTCATAAAGGGAATGCATTTGTTTGTACCTTTAATTCACAGAGCAGTCTTGCAGTCATGGCCCAACACTGGTGGGGTGCTTCTTAGGAGCCAGGCATGGTCCCCAACCATCATGCGCCTTAAAGCTCTTTTAATTCTCACAAGGAGCTGGAGAGATCAGCGCTGCTCTGGTCCCCATCTTACTAGGACTCTGAGGCCCAGTGCGGTTAAGTCACTTACCCAGGGTCATATAATGAGGAGTCAGAGCCAGAATTCAAAGCCAGGCAGTTAGAGCCCATGTTTTAACTATTCTCTCATTTGAACCAGGCAGTGCCAGTAAAAGGAGGGAACCAATACGGCTTGGAGAGGATCACTGAGTGAATTTCCCGAGGAGATTCAGCTAGCTGAAATGGCAATGGCCTTGAACCCAGATGCCCTTCAGCCTGAGCCTGTTCTCAGTCCACTTGGCTTCAGCTACTGTAAAGGTGGCTTGCCGCCCAACAGCTTTGGCATAACCTGGAAGCGTGTTAGAAATGCACAATACTGACTTAAAATCTGCATTTTAACGAGATCTCCAGGGGGCTGCTTGCACAGTATAGTTTGGGAAGCACTGCAGTAGGGCCGCACTACCCACTGATGGGGGAGTTGAAAGGTTCAGCCACACAGGTAAGCCTTGGGACACTGGTTTTTCCAAAGGTAGCTCTATCTTTCTTTTCATCCAGAAGTTCCCAGAGGCTGGGGTATAATTGTCCTTCCAAACTCAAAGGGTATACTATCTGGACCAAAGAGTTGAAAAAGGGTTCCTTCAGTTCCAAGGAAAGTAAAGAGTCCTGGGGACATCCTAGGATGATTCATTGAAATCAGCCTTAGGACAGCATGGGCGTCGTAGTTCCCGTGACAACACATACCTCATGATTCTGAAATTCCAGCTGTTCTCTCGAGTCCTAGAAATAAGTGTGACTTATTCTGTCTTCTTCAACCATAATCTCATGGAGTATGTTTTGAGTGTGTGTGTGTGATGGAATGTTTGTGTGAAAACATTAATGCATCATGATTGTATCATCGCTCACATGACATGAGAATGCATTCTCAGGCTTGGGGGAATATGGACCAGTCAACTCTACCCACCATTTAGAGCAGGGACTGGATGACCTGGCAGCCTCCAGGTTGAATTCGCTCTCCAGATATGTTGTGTTTGCCCACTAAGTATCAGCCTGGACTGTGTTTTAGTTTTTATGGGGGAGGGGCTGTGTTACGTAAGAATCCAGATTTTTGGCTTTTGTTGAGAAATCAGAGTATCTGGCAATACCAGACTTGTGTTCCACCATGGTGAAAACTGAAGGCTTCATGGAAACCTTCACTTTCTTGATGCTACCCTCCCCATCACCTCCTACTCCCTCCTCAGTGCTGAAACCAAGGGTCAGTCCAGCTGGGGTGTAACTCACAATGGAGTGGAGAGAAAAGTCAGCCATTTCTTACAGGACACCTAGACTCCCTACCCATTCATAGCACCTGCAGACATTTGAGTTGCAATCCCTGGACTGGAAGAAAGTCGGCAGAGCTTCTCTGAGATCTACGCATTCCTCTAAATCCCTAAATATAACACGATATTCTGGCTACCTCCCGAACCAGTTTGTAGGAATAATTTATTAGTGGTGTGGTGCACGGATATTTCTCGAGCTCCCTTTGCTTTCCTAATCCTGGGCTTGCCACTGCAGATAACTCAGAGGCATGAGAAGAATGAATATTGGTTGAAGAAATGAGACTTAAGCCTATGAAACAAGTAGGGAATAATGTGAGAGAGGTTATGACCAAGGAAGGATTCATCTGGAAAGATAGGTAGGATTGTGGGTGGAGCATCAGGGGGAAGGGAGCAGACGGGATGAATAACACATGGGGAAGGATAGCTAAGGCTTACCTAGAGCAGATTTGGGCTGGAGAAAAAGATGGGGCACAGGGCTTCTATTTGAGGGGGAGAAAGGGATCGGGTGAGATGGGGAAGGGGGGAAGTTCGCACAGGGTCATGCATGCCAAAAGGAGTGGATTTGTTGGGGTAAACTAGAACCTGGCAATTTCTAGGGAACCGGCTGCTGTTTCCAGAATGTGTCATGCACTTTCACACAGACTCTGTCTCTCAGAAGGCTCTGCCTCCTCTTCTTCTGCCGGCCCTGCCTGTACCCCTCCTCTATGACTCAGCTCATAGGCCCTCCCCAACAGCCTCCTGGGGGGAGTGAGGGACCCCTGTCTTTGTGCTTCCGAGGTACCCCAGGCATGAGTTCTGAATGTTTCCTAGAAGGAGAGGTTTTGTGATTTCAGGATCTACCCATCTGACCACCAAATTATAAACCTTTTTGAGGGGATACTGTGTCCTCCTTCATTGGGACTTCACAGTGTTGGGCACTTACAAGGGCTCCCTGCATGTTTTGGAATGAGTAAATGAATGACTAAACTAGCAGATGATCACTGGACGGGCCAGGCATGTGGTGATAAGGCGGATTAGGGTAGAATCTGTGGGGGTAGAACTGAAGGAAAGCATATCAGAAACATTTCGAAGAGAGAAATCGCTAAGACTTGCTGCCAAATTGAGTGTGGCCAAAAGCCTAGAAGAAGTCAGACTCAGGTATGGAAGGACAACAGAGATCTGAGGAAGCTGGGATGGGGAGCTGGAGGGGACCTTCTTCCTACATCTGTGGGGCAGAAAGTTCTCCGAGACGTGGGTGCCCTGTTCCCTCCGTTACCTGAGCTGTCCCTTTTGGTCTGTGTCTTTTTGCTGCTCCTGGAACTCCAGCCATTTCAGGATCAAGGAAACGAAGGTCAAAAGGAAAAGAACAGAGCATGAAATTCTCATTTCAAATCTTGTTTCTAGTCATATTTTTCTTGATGCAAAAGCTTTAGAGGCAGATATAAATATGAAAAAGGCCAGCTGCGGCTACCCTGGTAACAAAGTACCAGAAGAAAAACTAGGGAAGGGGGAGGGGAGAGGAGGGTGAGGTGGGAGCAGAGCCCTTGCTGCTGCTTTTGCTGAGGAAGAGTGGGTGCGACTCCATTTGTTTGGTCCTTTGTCTCAGCCTTTCATTTTATTTGCTGTAAGTTGCTTGTTGTTGCCAATGTGCAAAAACTGATAGAATTGTGACCAGACTAGAACCTGCCTGGATGAGGAGAGAGAAACCATCACTGGAGGCTTCGTTCTGGGAAATTAAAGAGAAGAGACCAAATGTCCGTCCAAAGCAATTCCTGAGAGAACAGTGAAGCAAAAATTCATTTCTCCCTGTTTCTCACAGCCCTCTGATCCATTCGGGACATGACAGCCCAGATGAGGTTGCCTCAGTTTACCGGCCGGCCTCTTCACACCTAGGCTCCCTCCCTTCAAATCAACTGTCACCTGGACAGCCAGCGTCACCTTGGATCACGTCACTTCCCAGTTTAAAATGAGGCTGAGGCTCCCACTCCACTAAAGCCTTAATTCATTCACAGGGCTTCCCAGGCCCTGGCTCGGCCCTGCCCACTTCTCCTTCCGTCCTCCCATCACTGCCATTTCTGCACTGGCCCACCCTCCCTTTTTCTAAACTCACCAATCTCTTCCTCAGGATGAAGCCTCATTTGTTCCCTCAACCTCTGCAGCATTCTCCACCCTTCCTCTGGGTAGAGCCTATTTCTCCTTCTGGCCTTAAGTCCCCTCTGACCTTCCAGAAATATTAAAAGTTGCCTGTGCCAGAGATTGACAACGGGCCCATAGACCCCCTTCTTCCTTCCTTCTGTGGGCGGCAGAGCCTCTGACTTTGTATTGGGCACGTGGCTACACACGCTGGTGAGTGCATTTCCCAGCTCCCTTGTAGCTGGGTGTGGCCAGGTGACTGAATGGTGGCCAGGAGTATAAATAGAAGCAAAGGGTAATGACAAAAGAAAAACCCATGATTTCAGATTTTGAGAGGGTCAGTAAGTTACTTCAATATATCTTGCTCTACTAGAGTCCAGGGGTCTCCAGCTCAGCAATGTGACATCTCACCCAGAAATTTCTTAACTACCGATCTCTGTAGTTAAGCCTCTGATACATACATAGAGTGACAACTTCCGGTATAAATTCTTAGGCAGTGGGCAACTGACACATCTTTCTCTTGCATGAATACTTTTCTACTTCCAGCCCACGTTTGAGTTAATAATATAAGTTAATATTTATTGAGGATTTCCTCCGTCCACCTCTGAATCTGCTGAGGAGCATGCCAAGGACTGATGTGTATGAGCTCATGTCACCTTATGCTCTCTGGGTGAGGTTGGCACTACCATCATTTATTTCCATTCTGCAGATCTGAACCCTTGGGGCCAGAAAAGTGAAACAATGGGCCCAAGGGCTCACAGTCAGAGCAGTGCCTCGGGCCCAGGGCTGGGTGAGCTCTGAACCGCTATAAGAGATTGTCCCCTCCAACTCTGCTGGTTCACTCCTGAAACTGAGAAAAAAGCCTTTCTTTCCTTTTCTTTTCTTTCCTCTCCTCTCCTCTCCCCTTCCTCCCTCCCTCTCTTTCTTTCTTTCTTTTCTCTCTCTCTCCTTCCTTCCTGGTTTTTCTCTTCTGGTGACATTTCCTAACTTATTTCTGTCCACCCTTTTCTTTTAAACCACAAATCAAGATTGCCAGGACCCCGATTTCCCACATCATCTTTGCCCTCTGGTCGCAGTGCCCTATGGTCCAAGTGCTCTCAGTGCCTGTCAGCCCTAAGGCACCTGCACATACAGGGACATTTCCGCAGGCACAGAGGACATGGGCCGGTACAATGGAGCTTTCCAGAACAGATTATCCATTTAGAAAGCAACCATAGAAGCTTCATGAAGGCTAGGCAGAGGCCAGGGGAAGAGGTAAAGGCACTCAATGAGTAGACAATGTTTTTACTTTTTCTCCCTAAGGACTAGGAACTGGGTTAGAAATTAGGTTTTCCTTTCCCACCTATGCTACTAACTTACTCTTCTTGTCGAAGAGTTACTTTTTATTTTGTACGACATTCCTCTGGAGTCAGGCCCACCACTCTGGCTGTGTGGAGGAGACTAAGGCAAAGAGAACGGGGTAAAGGTTATTCTGAGTCAAGGATAAAACCTGGATCCTGAGTGGCAGCATTTCACGCTCCTCCCTTTGCTTGGTTTCTGGATCTTAGGGCCCAGGCCATCTGGGCTGTGGCAGGGACAGGAGGCTGGCCTGATTTAAGGCACATACCTGAACTCATTGTGCTGGTGCAAGTCAGCAAAAATCTGAGAGAGCGCCTCACTCTCCCCCTTGGCCATCAGCTGCATGAGGCTCTCGCTGGGCTGAGAGACTTGGGGTTTCTTCTGTACTGACTAGGTGGAGGAAAAAAACAAAGCCAGATGGTTAAGGCCTTGGGGTCTCTGCATCTTCCTAATCACAGTCCAGACATGAAGGTGCTGGAACTGGGGCTCTTCCTCTGGGCTGCTGGGTCAGCTGCTCAGAGGGGCCATTCTGAGGCCATCTCTGTTTGTTTCTGTCCCCTGAATTGTTATAAATAGCCTTTGGTGCCTTAAGGATAATACTGTCATTGAAAACTTTAGACGTAATTTAGTAGATCATCTATTCTTCTTCTTTTTTTTTTTAATTTTATTTATTTATTTGACAGACAGAAGTCACAAGTAGGCAGAGAGGCAGGCAGAGAGAGAGGGGGAGGCAGGCTCCCTGTTGAGCAGAGAGCCCGATGTGGGGCTTAATCCCAGGACCCTGAGATCATGACCTGAGCTGAAGGCAGAGGCTTTAACCCACTGAGCCACCCAGGTGCCCCTAGATCATCTATTCTTATGAACATACCTTCATACGTTCCTGAACAGCCTATTCTTATAAATTTTAGTAAAGCTTCTGCTACTTAGTTTTGTATTTAAATGTAGGGAGATCAAATATCCGTTGTAGGAATTTAATAGATGTTTTAAAAATTAATTTCTCGGGGCACCTGGGTGGCTCAGTTGCTAAGCAACTGCCTTTGGCTCAGGTCGTGATCTCGGGGTCCTGGGATGGAGCCCTGCATCGGGTCCCCTGCTCAGTGGGGAGCCTGCTTCTTCCTGTCCCTCTGCTGCTCCCCCCGCTTGTGCTGGCTCTCTCTGTGTCCAATAAATAAATAAAACCTTTAAAAAATTTTTAAAAATGACCCAGCCATTACATTCCTTAGAATCTACCCAAGACAAATGAAACATACATCTATGCAAAAACTTGTACACAAATGTTCCCATCAGCATTATTCATAATAGTCAAAAACTGGAAACAATCCAAATGGCCAACTGGTGAATGGATAAAGAACACGTGATATATCCATACACCGGAATGCTAATCTGCAATGAAGAGGAAAACAGATAGTCTGTGATTGTGCAGAAGTGGCCTCATGCTACAATCTAGATGAGTCTGAAAAACACCATGCTAAGGGAAGGAAACCAGGCACAAAAGACTAGTATCGTAGGATTTCATTTATACGAGATTTCTAAGAAATAAGAAATTATAGAGACTGCCTTGGGCAGTGGCTGCGTAGGGCAGGAAAATAGGGATATTTGAAGGACTGTGCACGGGCACAAGGGAATTTGTAGGGTGATGGTTGCCCAACTCTGTACTGTTACTGAGAACGCTGTGCGGTGCACTTGAAAAGGTTGGGTTTTATGGCCGTAAATTGTGCCCCCAATAAAGCTGATTAGCAAAGGTCTAAAGCAGGGATTGCCTTCACGGGGTGCTCACCTACGAGCTCACCTACCAGCTCACCTAACTCCACAGTTCGACTCTGGCCTTTGCTGGAGGGGGCAATGGTGCCCACTTACGTGAGTGTCTCCCGAGGGGCTGCAGCTGATCCTGGGTACCAGACAGTGAGTGAAAAGGATCCTTGGGTCCTTGGTGGTGATGGACAGCCCTGTATGCAGAATTTGCACCAGCCGGATCCAGAAGTGGAAGACAGTCTCAGGATGGTCCTGGTGGAGCCTCAGGTAGTAGATCTTCTCGGCGACTGTCCTCAATCGCAAGATGCGTTGAAGCCGGTCACAGACCTGGAACTCCACGAACTTCAGTGGGAGGATCCTGAAGCCACAAGAGAAGACACACCGTGGCAGCCCTGTGGCTTCTGATCCAACCCCGTCTTCGTTAATATGAGGAGTGTCTCCTACAGGACTGAGGCTTTCGGGGGTAGGAGAGAGAATGCTCAGCACCGTGGTGCTCAAATTTGCAGAGACCAGATTCACCTGGGGAGCTTGTTTAAAACGCAGACACCTGAAGAAATCCCCTGCAACTCAGATTCGGTGGGTCTGGGGTGTCGCCCTGAAATCTGCCATGATTCTCAGGCTGGTGTTCCCTGGGATCCTGCTTGAGAGAGATAGCCCTGGGGTAAGGTGGCGGGTAGCAGGAGTTTCCGGTTTCTTTCTTGATAGCATAAAGGAACTGCCCTTCTCTGCCACAGAGTGGCGCTGTCTAGCCTGTCCGTTCATTGACCCCAGTGCTTTCACTACTCTTCCCAAAGGGGCTAAAGTTCAAGGAACTGGGCTGGGCTTTCTATAGGTATGCCCAGAACATAGAGGCGAGGTTTATCACGGAGCCGACATGGAGGAATGAAGGGTTTGTCTGGATTTCTGGGAATCTCTAGAGATTCTTGAGATATCCTACAGATTACTTATATCAAAAAGGACTGTTTCTTCCCAGAGGAGTCTGAGGTCACTGTATGTTACAGTTTTAAGGGAGACTTAGTTCCACTCGTTTTACCAGTAGGAAAACTGGGATGAGGCAGATAGCCTTGAGACTCAAAAATGATTCGAGTCGTTGGCTACCGAAGGCTGGAACCCGTGTCTCATAACTAGTGCTCTATCTGCCGGACCTCACTGCTTCCTTGCCCCTTGGCCCACGGCAGGGAGACTTCCTATGGATTCAGTGGGTGAGAGCAGCAAGAAGGAAAGCGGGTGTGCTGACTGGCTTCTCATTGCTGACCACATAACACTTCTCTTTTCCCCACAACCTTGGCCTTAATGCTTCCAGTGCACGCTCTCTCTTGGGCTACTGTTGTCTAAAAAAGGAATGTCACTGCCAGTGACTTCTCTGTTTCTCCCTACTTTGAGTTGAGTCACAAAGCAGCCTCCGCTTTGGGTCCACCCCTCACCCCATTCATCCTCTGTTTGCATCTCTATTGCTTACCTCTTCAGCTTGATGTTTGGGGCCGTAGATGGTCTGTTCCATGTCTGGCTCTGTCCCTGGTGCCATTTGACACTAGCCATGAGGAGGATATTGGGAAGGGGCAGGCAGGGCACGGAGGAGGTTACCCCAAGGGCCATGGTGTTGGAGGGTTTGTAGATGTCTATCCATTTCCTGCCCTTTCTGACCTGCAAAGCAGCCCGAGGGGCACAGCCTGAGCATTGGGCAGAAGCAGCAGCGTACTCTAGCAGAGGTGGTCTCTCAACCTCAGTCCTATCCACATTTGGAACTGGCTAATTCTTTGTTTGGGGGAGGGGGCTTTCCCCACTAAGGCACCATGGTTACTCAGTCTCCGTCTCTATGCACTAAAGGCTAGTAGCAACCCTTCCCCACGCCCTGCCTCCCAAGTTGGGACCATCAATAATATCTCCAGAGGTTGCCAAATGCCCCCTGGTGGTGACCAGCGAAATCAACACCTGTTGAGAACCACTGTTTAAACCTATATGGCTTCAACAACTGGAGGAGTATTTACCCCACCACCTACTAACAATTGCCCACAAGAACTATAACCCAAGAGTTCCCGGTCCTGTGTCACATTTCTGTGACTCCTTCCCACACTGTTTCCTGGATTTTCTTTGAAAAATGTGTCCTTACTCCATTCTTTGAGGGGCCCTATTACCTCCTGCACTTTCCCTTGCAGCTCCCAAGGTCTGTTTATTCTGGGTTCCACTCGGCCAGAGGAAAGGAAGAACAGGCAAGGAAATAAAAATGCACAGAGAGACCCCGGGGTGGCGCGGTTGGTTAAGAGGCTGACTCTTCATTTTGGCTGAGGTCACTATCTTGGGGTCCTGGGATAAAGCCCATCCCACACCCAGTTGTGGACTCTGTGCTCAGTGAGGAGTCTGCTTGAGTTTCTCTCCCCCTCCCGCCCCTCCCTCTGTGCAGTGCACTCACACATGCTCTCTTTCTGTCTCAAATAAATAAATAAATCTTTATTCTTTTTTTTCCTCTCTCTCTCTCATTTTCTTTCTTTTTAAAATATTGTATTTATTTGACAGAAAGAGACAGCAAGAGAGGGAACACAAGCAGGGGGAGTGGGAGAGGGAGAAGCAGGCTTCCTGCTGAGAAGGGTGCCTGATGAGGGGCTCGATGCCAGGACCCTGGGATCATGACCTGAGCCGAAGGCAGATGCTTAACAACTGAGCCACCCAGGTGCCCCAATAAATGAATCTTTAAAAAAAATGCCCCAAGTGCCCTTTGTACTTGCACCTTTGCTTCCTGGGTTCACATGCAACAACCAGCTTGGGCCAATCCCTTTTATAAATAGAGGAAACTAGGATTCAGGGCATGCAGATCACTTGCACAATGACACCCCCTGACAAGAAGGCAGAGACCCTGAGCCCTGGTCCCTCTCGAGGCCCTGCTCCTGCTCTTTCACCAACCAGCATTTCTGCTACGAAGCCTCCCAGGGCAGCCCCCTTCACTGCCTCCTCTTTGTTCACCTCTTGGGGCTGACAGCCTGGAGAAGGAAGCACATTGAGGGGTTCGGATACCAAGTCCTCTACTCAGAGCAGAGAACACCTGACCTCTGTCCCCACGATGACAAGTGTCTGCAGAAAAAGCTCTGTGTGGGGCTCAGCAAAGTCAGGGTCATCTGCATTCCAGGCCCACTGACTTCTCCTTGCCTCAGTGCTCACTCTACTCCAGGCCCCAGGACAGACTCTCCCAGCCACATCTTGGGAACAAGTTGAGAAGAATCAAGGAGTGCCATTGTGAGCGACCCAAGGGTACCTGGACAAAGTTGCTTTCAAACACCACTGAGTCAGGAAACAGGTTGAATTCTGGAGAACGAAGCATCTGGCAGAGAAGTCCCTCCTCTACACCCAAGCCCACTCCAGGGTTCGGCTCCCCATCCACAGACAAGAGGCCCCTGACTTCTTCCCAGGCATTCAGGGAAGGGAATGTTGGAAAAGATCTTGTGACTTTTACTGTCTTCTTTGATTTCCACCGAGTCTTTCTCTGTGGAACTGATGACAACATTTCCGCACATGCTCAGGGGCCTGCTGCAAGTTTGGCCTGGTATCTCTCTCTTCCCTCCTGGCCCTGGGCGGCTGGCCAAGGCCTGGGACCGCCAATCAGCTCACAATGATGAATGGATGACATCATGAAAAAACCAGGGCAGGCCTGTGGGAAAGGAAAATGCAGAGGGGCCTCTCTTTTCATGCAGAGGGCTTGTTTCTGCCCTAATAGTCCCCAGCCCCTGTCCGGAACCCGGGGACATAGTGCCCCCAGAGGTTGCTGGGAAAGGGGTGAGCCAGGCAGGAAGCAAGGAAGGAAAGCTGCTGGGAGGGTATTTTCTTCCCTGCCTTTCAACCCTCCCTTAATCTTTTTTTTTTTTTTTAAGATTTTATTTATTTGACAGAGAGAGAGAGACAGTGAGAGAGGGAACACAAGCAGGGGCAGGGGGAGAGGGAGAAGCAGGCTTCCTGCCGAGCAGGGAAGCCGATAAGAGACTTGATCCCAGAACTCTGGGATCATGACCTGAACGGAAGGCAGCTGCTTAACTGACTGAGCCGCAGGGAATCCTTAACTCTCCCTTACTCTTAATGCAACCTACCCCAAGCAGTTTCAAGGGCTGTTGTCCTTTTCAAACCCCACCTTTCCCAGCTGTGATGAGGCTGTGTTTATCCGGAGGACACTTACCCGTCTTGGAAGGAATCGCAGGGCTCTGCTCCGCGCTCTGCTCTGCCTGCGTAGTTACTTCTGCAGGTCTGTTTCCCTCAGGAGGTCACACTGAAGGAGGAGTCCACGCAATTAGTTTCTTCCCCAGAGGCTGGCTCTGTGAGGGTGCCCAGCGGAGAAGGGGGGACCGCCTTGGGCCAGTTCCGCTAGATCAACGAGACATTCCCCCTCTCAGAGAGTGACAGCATTCCTCAGCCTGGAGTCGGAGAAAGCAAGAGCCCCAAACCCTGCAGTGGCTAGGTCAAGGGCAAAGAAGGAAGCAGGCTGACCGCTATTCAAGTCCGCTTCGGGGAGGAATCATATTCTAATTTGGACGAAATTCCGGAATTTACTAAGCTATGTATTATCAAATCAAAATCAAATATGATCAACTCAGAACAGTAATCGGACAACCAGTGCATGTGATGTACAAGTGTGAAGAATTACTTTTGCATTTCGTTATCAAGTCAGAGCGGCGGCTGAAAGGTCTAGAGGCTCTGCTGACCTGGTTCCATCTGCCCCTCGTCTAGTGGCTTCTAGTTTGCCCGTTCCAGCACCTGAAACCACTCCCTGGTTGGTAAAGCAACTGCCGCATTCATGTTCCTTGTTTTCTTCTGTTTATCACGTGGGACAAATGTCCTCCATGGAATAGTCTCTAGGGATGGGATCAAGAGACCCCGTTCTGAGGTTGACATTTCTCTGCAAGCAAAACACAGTCCAAAAGTGATGGCAGTTAACACGCTGAGATGAGTTGAACTTGCCTGCCACAGTCTAGCTGATTGGTCTAAATACGTAGTTTGTATGTATTTGGCCATTGAGACAGCCAAAAGTCCCCTTCAGTGGGGAAGATGGCTTTTTCTGTTTTCTCTGCAAGTCTGTTTAGCCCATTTCTGTGGTATGTGGAAGAGGGTTTAGCGCCCAGTCTAGAAAGCTAATTATGAGGGAAGTGAGCTTTCGGCTCTAAACAGAATCTAAAGCAATACTCAAATGTCTTTAAGATGTCTACCCTTCCTACTTGCCCCCATCAAGCCTCAAAAGCTAGCACAAAAACCATCTGATAGATGCTTAGTTGCCTTTCTCAATATCCATTCTCTCCATTTCCTTATTAATGGTGGAATGGCTGATCTTTAGTCGCGCACAGTTTTCTGGAATAAAGATTACATTTCCTGCCTCCCTTACAGCTAGGGGTAAGGCCATGTGACTATGTTGTGGCAACAGAGATGTAAGCGCAAACTGCATCTGTGGTGAAGAGACATAGGAGGAAGGGGCATACTTTCTCAGTCCTTATAATTTTTTTCCTTCTGGCTAGAATAGAGATTTGACAGCTGGAGCTTGAGCAGCCCCACTGGGCCATGATGTGGCATTCTGCTGATGGTAGGATAGGAAGATAAAAGGGCTCCAGTTCCTTGATGATCATAAAATGGCCATACTAGTCCTTCCTGGACTGCGTGCCTCCAGACTTCCTTTATATATGAGAGAAATAAATTTGGGTTTTCTGTTATACCAAGTCAGGCTTAAAAATTGCTGATACAGGGCACCTGGGTGGCTCAATCGGTTAAGCATCTGCCTTCGGCTCAGGTCACGAACCTGGGGTCCTGGGATCGAGTCCCACATCAGTCTCCTTGGTCAGTGGGGAGTCTGCTTCTCTTGCCCCTGTGCCCCCCCTCTCTCACCACCACAGTGGTCTTGTCTCCTTGACAATATTGATAGTACTTTGGTTTGAGGCTAAAATCACTTAGTAGTGTTGAGTATCACTTCAAACTTGCTCAGGAGTGACCAGGATACCTGATTGCATATTCAGTTGGGGCTAGACCAGGGTGCTGTGGAGCTTAGAGCTTATACGGTTTTGGAGACACCTAAAAATAAAAATACCGGGGGTGCCTGGGTGACTCAGTGGGTTAAAGCCTCTGCCTTGGATCTGGTCATGATCTTGGGGTCCTGGGATTGAGCCCCACATTGGGTTCTCTACTCAGTGGGGAGCCTGCTTCCTCCTCTCTCTCTGCCTGCCTCTCTGCCTAATTGTGATCTCTGTCTGTCAAATAAATAATAAAATCTTAAAAAAATAAAAATATTGGATGGTTGGGGCAGTAAGGAGTTATTGTTTAATGGGTACAGAGTTTTAGTTCAGGAAGATGACAAAGTTCCAGAGATGCGGGCGGTAATGGGCCCCCAACAGTGTGAATGGACGTCATGCCACTGAACTGGATGCTTGAAATGGTACATTTTGTGTCTATTTTACTACAGTAAAACATTTCTAAAACATAAAAAGGAAAATAAATATGGTATTACCACAAAAATATGATAAAACATTGCCAGAAGCCCTCTTAGGGGCCTGGGAAGTTTCCGTGTGAACAAAGGGCCCTGAAGTATAAGCTTTATTATCTTCATGGCAAATCTGTCCCATTTAAATCTGTGTCACTATTTTAAAAAAAAACTATTACATAAGCAGTACATGTGCTTGTAGAACATCAGAAAATAGAGACAAGTTTAAAAAACAAACAGCATATTCTTACCTCCCAGAGAACATCACTGCGACAACCATTGATGTGTGTGTGTGTGTGTGTGTGTGTGTGAGACAGAGAGAGAGATGTTATGCTCTAAAAATTGTTTTTAATTTTTTTAGAATCTGTATTATTTAGCCAACACTTTTTACCTTTGTATTTTGGTATATTTTTATCTCCTCTCATCTAATTTCTAGGCCATATTGAAATTTCTCCAATTAACTCCAGTTATTCTTACAACTGATTTATCCAAATCAGTATTCAATCCAGGAGCACACATCCCCCTTAACTTTATTTCAATCTAGTACAGTCCCTTTTTTAGGACACTTACTAGTGGAAGCAATTGAGATCGTGGTCCTACAGAATCTCTCACCTTCTGGATCTGTCTGGTTACTTCCTTGTGGTGTCTAGTTTGCTTGTCTAGCTACTATTTTTCCTGTGAAATAGAATTTGTATCTAAAGGGTTGATGGAGGGACACCTGGGTGGCTCAGTCGTTAAGTGTCTGCCTTCAGCTTAGGTCATGATCCTGGGGTCCTAGGATCAAGTCTCACAACAGGCTCCTTGCTTGGTGAGGAGCCTGCTTCTCCCTCTGCTTGCTGCTCCCCCTGCTTGTGCCCTCTCTCTCTCTAACAAATAAAATAAATAAATAAATATACCATAGGATCTATGTAAGATATTACCCTTTTCTCCCAAAGAATGTCCATAGGAAAATACATTAAAAGAATATATCTCAGAAGAAAAATGATACCAGGAAATAGAATAAAGTCCTTGACAAGAATCCTCTCTGTACCATCAAAGGACCTTATAGTTCCCATGAAACAAGCAAGTAGACAAACAAAATTAGAGATACCAAAATAAGATAAAAAGGGGACCTGATGAGGTAAGGAGAAAAAAAAAAAGAAAACCCGCTCAGTATCTGACAGTCACATTTCCACAAGAAATGGAGGTGACATGACAGCAAACCGAGTCAGGGATATGGTCAGCAGGTCAGAGTCTATCACACTAACTATAATAAAGAAGGGCAAGAGATGAAAAGAATGGGAAGAAAATGATGGATGTGGGAGACATTTATGTTGACCACACATACAGGTAGAGTCCCTGATGAAGAGAGAACAAATGGAATTGAAAAAGTAGTCAAACACGTAAAAGAAAAAGCCATTTCTGAAACAAAAGACCCAATCTGGCACACAAATGGATTTACTCTATTCCAGGTAAACTGAGTAAAGAAACCACTGAGACCAGTATAGCTCTTGGGAAGTTGCTAAATCTTAAGCACAACAAAAGCATCTTACTACAAACATCTGGATAGAAGAAGCAGACAATCTACCAAGGGGAATATATATTTTTTTAAGATTTTATTTATTTCTTTGACAGAGATCACAAGTAGGCACAGAGGCAGGCAGAGAGAGAGGGGGAAGCAGAGAGCCTGATGCGGAGCTCGATCCCAGGACCCTGGGATCATGACCTGAGCCGAAGGCAGAGGCTTTAACCCACTGAGCCACCCAGGCGCTCCTACCAAGGGGAATAAAATGAGACTGGTTCCAGACTTCAGCAACTTTACATGGGATGAGAAAATGAAATGATGTGAACCAATAATTCCACAAACAGGATTTACATTTACATACAGGAATGACATCCATTCAAGTATAAAGGAAGCCAACATAATCTTAAAATACTAAGCACATTAGAATAAATAAATCCATAAGCTGGTTCTCGGGGAAAAAATTAGACTATTAGTGACAGTTTAATTTTTTATAAAAGGAAGACACAGAACATATGATTTGAAATAAGAAAACACAAATAAGTACAAATAACTT